GATAAGCCGTCTTATCGGCTTTCCTCTCCCCCGGGATAAATATGTAAATCCTATCCTATCCTATTATTCATTTAGACCAAAAGTATTTGGCCGCAGATGGAACCTTTCTCAAAAATTCTTGTTTTGATTTTGTCATAAAACTGATAACAAGAGACATCACCATTAAATTTGCAGGTTACGGAGTGGTTTTATATTTTCTTCTGGCATTCTGCACCTGCTTTCGGACCAAAATTTTTTAACAATGGAAAAAATCCTTTCAACAGATGTTCCGAAAAACAAATCAACCAATTTGCTGCAAATTCGAAATGCTAATATTTCTGTTAGAAAAAACGTTAACATCTCTGTCTACTTAATTTCAACCGGCAAAGTAAGTCAAATTGCATTTGAACCATGCTCAGATAAATATCTCTTTATCAGTATTCGTCGAAAAGTGCATCGCTATTCAAAACCTGATCATCTAACCAAACATATCATTTATCAGTTTTGCAGACCAAACACTTCAGTCCAGTTTATTTCACTCTTCAAATTTGTCTATATGTGTGGCCTGGCAGCATTGTAGGCTTCATCGTGCAGCTCTATATACGATAGACATTTCTTGTAAAAATCGCAAACATTCTTTTTGAATACAAATTTTTTCCCTGCAAATATAGCTTCACCTCTGACAAAATATTTGTAACAAATACGGCAGGGGTCGGCAACCTTTTGTCGCCCGCGGGCCAAAATTAAGGGTTGCGAGTCATTGGCGGGCTGCACATATTTTTAGAAAGTTGAAACTGAACGGATGATACTTTTTATATTAAAAATCAAGCAGTGATACATCTCTCGAATAGAATATAGATTTATTTCCTCATTGCATCTCAAAAAATTCCATTTGAATATTTTCAGCGCCATTGAACCCTTTGCACTTAGCTTCAACTTTTCTGCGTTTTGTTGCCATTCGAGCTTGAAGTAAATCATCATTAAATTCAGAGGAGAACAGCGGAGCAATGCACCGACTCTCATTTATTTCTGACTAAACGTGCAAAATCAACGAATCCGCTTATCAGACAGCGGACATCAGAAATTCTAACTGTGTATATTTACAAGTTAATGCAAATTTAGCCTCAAAAAAATTTGATATTAATTTAGAGGTGCAGTCAAAACTTTGGTCATGAATAGCAGTGTGATAGGAAAATGTCGGCTGCCAACAACACAGAATTATCCGAATTTGTTATCGCAAAATTGGTCAGTCGAGTCGATGCCTCAATGTTTTGTGCTTCCTGCTTTGGATATGATTGTTGACATCTGAATGTCCGCCATGACTAATAGAAAAACAGATCTGCAATGCGTACAGTGTACCTTTCCTCCTTTAGTTTGCTTCAAATAAGGAAAATCTTTCTTCAACTCATCAGAAAACTTGTACTTTCTTTTTGGCATTTCGACAACTTAACGACATTGCAGTTAACGCCAGAAAACGCATTAAAACATATACTAATTGTGACATAACAATAGAGCGATTTCTCTCTCTGAACTAGCGAAGTGTGTCGCAAAACAGTGGTAAATGGGCTGTCACCGTTAAAAAAAATTTGTAATAATAATGAATTTGAATTTTTTTCCCATGAAAACCGTGCTGACAAACCGGGACATTTGAGTCAACCGGCCGGGACGCCGGGAGAGCGTGTCAAATCCGGGACTGTCCCGGCTAAACCGGGACGCATGGTAAGCCTATTCATGCACCCAATTCTGGCAACTTTGATTGGGCATTTTTGGCAATTGACTCGAACTATAATCAGCTTGGCAATAAATTTTTCATAAAAGTTTATCTCTACTGTTCACTCCCATTTATAAAATCTATCAATTCGGCAGTGGCAAACGTTATAAATTTATTAATATGGTGTGGCAAGTAATTTTTATTTATTTATTTTTTCAACTACCTGTATGTAATTTATAACTTCTGTATGGTTGTGTGTGTGAAATATTCCCATTATTTTACGTGAGTGAACGCGTACCATTTCTTCTTGGCAAAACTTTCCATCTTGTATACATTCTGTACGTTTTAAACCTTATCTAAGGTTTTGTTTGCTCTCCTGATTTCATAATCAGTTTTTATATTTTTTTACCAATCATTTCATTGTTACGCTGATTATGGAGTCGAAATAAATTTTTACTTATACTAACTTGTGGACACTGCCAGACTGCGGTAGCCCATTAAATTGCAGGATGATATTACAGTACAATATGTCAGATATGTGCTTAAAATTTAATGTTTATTTAAGCCTTAAATAAACATTGGTATTTGTAAGGGAAGGCGGACAAGTGTCATATAAGTGTCACTGTGAAGTATAAAGGTTTCAATATATTTAAAAGTGCTCATTCAAAACATTTAATACCAATAAAGTTCAAAAATTTAAACGCACACAGTCCTATAAGTCAACAGCCCGAAAGTTTATTACTATCGTGTATTTTGTTTGTCAAGTTTGGCCCAAGCCTCATTTAATTGGGCTTGTGTTTTTGTGTGCGTGCTGGTGGGCGGGCACATGAGATACTTCTCATGTTTTAAACTTTTTTATAGATTTTGCTTGCCCTCCAGAATTCTCCATTTTTAATTTATGTTTGTTATGGAGTTTTCGAAATAAACTATCTATCTAACAGTCTTATTTCGCTAGCGTTACTCCAATTTCGTCTGTAGACTGTATTTGTATTTATATAATGTGATCAAAATAAGCCACTTCCACAAATAAAAATGAAGAGAATATTTATGTATTTTTCTCGACATTTGAGCCCTAAAAATATCAAAATCACATTTCTATAGATCTAAAACACCGCCGTAGAAAATGCGAAAAGACGTAGTCGAGTTGTCTCTGGTGAGTTGTCCGTGTAGTCGAGTTGTCCATAAGCCTTTGTAAGGTATACAAAGTTCTTAAAAGATTGCAAAAGGTACCGGTATACCACGATAAAAAAAGGGTGAAGAACACTTGGCTTAGACACTTCATTCGCTCAGACATATAGATATTCAAGCTTGGTTGTAAGCATTGCCTCGGTTTTGCATGTTATTTGTAAATTTTCAGTTGTGTTTCCAAAAATTAGTTGTAAATGAAGTAATTTAACTGTCATTATCTCCTCCGATGACAGGATGAGCTTCAGTTTAGTTGCAATAATCAAAAATTAGTCCCGATAAAGATGCGATAGACTGGGCTAAAATTCAAAAATTAGCTACCGGCAGTGGTGGGATTCAGCCGCTCCTATAGAAGCATCTCAAGGAATTTCATGAGATCAGCAAATCGGTTAGCATTTCTGGTTTATTTGCTGAAAAATATGACTTTTTGTAACAGAACCGGCTGAAAAATATGATTTTTGTGATGGAACCGGCTGACAAAAAATTTGAATCCCAACACTGGCTACCACCGGTACGGTATCCGGTATCTGCACATGATTCTGTACATTTCAATAAAAACCATAGTTTTGAGCATGTTACTCAGGCTGTAGGTGCTAACTTTCTAAAACACTTGTATAATAAGCATCCAAAATTTTGCTAAAGTAAAGATTAAGGAGAATCTTCAGGGGTCTGGGAAAGTTTGCAAATGCAGAAATGGCAATTCCTTCATCCATTTTCGTAAACTGTTTTCATGGAATATGTCTTGCCTTTTTTCGTGGTATTCTGAACAAGGCATTTATCGGGCTCAATATTTATTTAGACTACATGCGATATCCACTTTCCTTTACCCTGAATTGAGTACAGTTACATTTCTCTTAACTTCGATGTTTATGCGGAATAAATACAACACATGTGGGAAAGAATATTATTTATTTATATCTTAACAATGGGTTGAATGCACAAATAACATTAGACATGATCATGTCTAAACCCTGGAACCATGCAATGTACTTGACATTGAGTGTAATGTTTGATAATTATCACAGTATCATGTGCATTTTTTGACTTGTTTTAATAGTATCTAAAAAGCACTTTGAACAATATGTCTGAAGATACTTGAAAAAAAGATGAGGAAGAACGATGTACTCTAGATAGGTCAAAATGTATGGCCCTAAAATTTGATGGTAAAAAAATGATACGAAGAGAAGATATTTGGGATTTATTTGAGGAAGTTGGTATTGTTTTTGATTCAGTGGACGGATTTGTGATAATGTCCAAGTCTACAGTGGATATAACTTTTAAATCCAGATCAACAGCAATAGATGTTGCTAAAAAGTTGCATAAAATGAAAGAAGTTGGGGACACCTTACCATCTCATAGGCTCTATATTCCTGAAGAAAAATATGTGAAAGAAGATATTGAAGGCAATCATGGTGTTATAGACAGATAGATTTCACATAAAAATGATGAGTGTATTCGAAGATTTTTCATAAAAAACAGATTGGACAAATATAAAGACCGAAGATCAATGTAGGATATTCAGGACAGACCGAAGTTGAAGAAATCGTAAATGCTGCTGAACAATAAAAAGATATTTCAGTATTTTTACCACACTGCATTGAATGGATATAGGGTATCAGTATATGTTATAGTGGGAACGCAAAATTTAAATGTGTTGCTGTACTATTTGAATAAAAATTAGCCTTTTTTTGTTTCCTAATAATTTATTTGACATGGTGGGAGAGTTTTTGATGTAAATAGCTATGAATGACCTCATTTTTATGGCATCTGTTTGGTCTGTATTTCCAACATTCTGTAATTTTAGGAGACGATATGAACTGTGTCTAAGATATACATAATGCGGTAATGAAAGCTATTTAGTCTATTGGACATATAGATTGTTTCGTTATTCAATTATTGAATAATACATATTATGGAACCTATAAAAAATGTGAGGAATTTAGAAAGAAGACAAACTTAAAGGACCAATTCAGTTGTTTGAAATCAAATTGATAGTTTTTTGTCACATTTTCATTTTCTCACAATTATGATCATCTACTCCACCTATTGAAAGAATTCAATTCAAATTTCATACAGGTGTAGATAATTTTACATAATATAATGAGAACGTTATCTTGACATCTCAATGGAATATTTCTTGAAGAACTATGGCACGAATATCAATGCTCCGATTTCTTCTTCTCTGTTTAACATTAACAATAATATCATGCATGCACTTATTTTTCAATTGCAAAGAAACAAAAGATGAAGTTCGGAATGTTCCTTTACATTCTCAAGAAAGTGAAGCTATGAACAAAGACGTTTTTATACCCAATATCCCTATACATAAAAATGATACACATGAGTTAGCAGACGATACTAATAACCCACATAAGCTCGCTGTTATTATTCCTTTTCGAGAAAGGTTTGATGAGTTGATGGAATTTGCACCATGGATACACATTTTTTTAACTAATCAGGGTGTTCGACATAAAATTGTTGTTGTTAATCAAGTTGATATTCATAGGTAAGTTGATGTTTTTATGATATCTTTCCATCTTTGTATAGACTCCCTACTACATTTTATTGAATTGGTCATGCATTCACAGTTTTACTGGCAGTATGATGTTGCCTTGCATCAATCATCAAATACTGTGATACATTGTTATGCCATTATAATGGCAATTTGGATTTTGCCTATTATTATCCATAGGCTATTTAGTAACAAGGTTAAAGCTGCATTGAAATTTTGGGGGTTAGGACAATAGTCTAATCAATATCTCACATCGGGTGGATTCTGATTTCACTCTCAGCATAACTTCTGTTTTTTTTTCACATTTATCATAGATTTAACCGAGCTTCTCTCATCAATATCGGTTTTATCAAGTCAAGAGGTGAATGTGATTATATGGTGATGCATGATGTTGATTTGCTACCTAATAATCCTGATCTAAAGTACACTTTTCCAGAAAAGGTTTTGTAAATTTTTTTTATCTTATGGTAGTTATTATCTTTGCATTCCTACATCTATTTACGTTGCTCACACTTGACAATACATATTGATTAGTCTAGACCAGGGTTTCCCAAAGTGGGGTCCGTGACAACAGCACGGGGGTTAGCGCCGATATGTAAAGAGTCTGATCGATCTTTAAAGATTGATTCAAAGTCATTGTATTTTTTTGTTGGAACGTTGCAGACTAAAATTGCTGTCAGAAAGGGCAATTAAAAAACCTACTTGTAAGAGACTGCATTTTCATCTCTTACCAATTTGATGACAAAATTCAGGTCGAGACTTGCCGCAGAGTTGGACCTTGCTTATCACAAATTGCTACGACAATTGATAAATTGTGCAGTCGAAAGCAATCTCATCAAACACATTAATATTGTGATGTAGATGAAACATTATCCTTCCTCGTCAGTTAGGCACAGGAATTTATACAGCATAGAATGTGGGTTCGTCAAAAATAAGATTCTAAAACAGGGGTCCCTGGCCCAATAAATTTGGGAAACACTTGTATAGGCGGTATTGAATGTTTCTTGTCTCTGGGGCTGTGTCTGGAAAAATTTGCACTTGCCTCCCGCTTCAAGTCATTTAAAAGGTAAATCTGACTTTGGATTGACAAAAATTTCCACTTCAACTCCAGGTTGAGAAAAATTTTAAATCCAGTTCCAAACTCTGTGGAGATGTAAACAAGGTTTTTGTGTATGCCCGCTTTCTTTAATTGTCTGTTGAAAATCTGTCAGAAATATTTATTTACATATTTGTTGCCACTCCATTATCAATAGAATATTGAACTACGACCCCTACGGCAGCACAGCCATGCTTGTCTCCTACCTATGTTTTCGTTTGTATTTCTATCAGCCCACTATATAGTGATAAATGTCCTTAATTCCTGATGTTATGGTCGAAGTATTGAAAAAAAATTAAAAAGTTGATTCAGTTATTTTTTGACTACCCTATTATTTGAACTGATATTATATTAGGCATTTTATTGATACTTTGTCAAATTTTTGATTGTTTTATTTACTCTACATTTCACAGGGGGTACATCATCTAGCATCTCCAGACATCCATCCTATATATCATTATGCTAAATATGTCGGTGGAGTATTAATGTTGAAAATGTCTGATTTTGCATTGGTGAGTTCCAATGAATTTCTTATATGCTGAAGCTATGATAACTGGTTGTTTATTTCAGACAAGTAGTGAAGTAAGTTTTTGTGTGTATGGGATTAAGAGTTTTTTACACTTCCCATATTCTCACAAGTCTAGTTTTGGTCAATCATCAGTTAATTTTTAAGTAAATCCATTAGATTTATATGGATGTTCATTCTCTGGTTTCGTAAGGGCTGGAAAGATTGGAATGTGAATGGAAATATGTCTATAAAACAAGGAGTTGTCATGGTTTTAGTATAAAATAGATAGAAAGAAATATATTGAAAATTCTGAGAAATATTTTATATTTATTCCTTTCACATTGTATTATTAAATAATATTGTCTCTTATTTAGTGCAAAGGAATGTCAAATATATTCTGGGGATGGGGGAGAGAAGATGATGAATTTTTTATGAGAATGAAAGAGAATAATTTACAGGTATTGTACTACCTCCTGCAACAGCTGTTTCTCAAATTAATAGACATTTTGTTTGTATATGTTTTCATGAAGAATATTGTACTTTGTTGTAACAGCATTCTATTGGTCAGTTTACAAAGCCCTAGTGATTAGTCCATATTGTTAGTTTTGAATCTTATATCACTTAAATCATATATTTGCGTATTTTTGTCCACTCTAGCACTATATAGTTCCCATGTTATAGTATCCATGTTACCAAAATGGCTGTGTTTGTGAATATGATTTATGTGTGATGTTGAATGGCATGGTCGACAAGAAAAAAAATTCGGTATTCTTTTACAGCTGCTCAGGCCAACAGGAATCACCACTGGTTATAACACTTTCAAACATATCCACGATAAAGTTAAGAGACCAAGAGATTATAAAAGATATGGATCACAAAAACAGGTTTATATGAAGTTATTTTTTATAATGTAGTCATATTTACTATTACACAATTACGGATATTGGAATCCCGACCATCTTGAATACTCGCTCGAGGATCATGAGTTTTTAGAACTGTTTCTCAAATTGATAGACATTTTGTTTGTATATGTTTTCGTGAAGAATATTTTACTATGTTATAACAGCATTCTATTAGTCGTTTACAAAGCCCTAGTGATAGTCCATGACGTCATGGCTGTCCATTTCTAATTATATTAAGTGATATGTGCAAATTTTCACAAAATTTTTGTGGGTGACAAAAATAAACTTATATAAGTTATTCAATTCAGACAATGTGAACATTCTATTCACTCAGGTGCAATTCAAAAGAGATACTCAAACCGGTGTTGATACTGTGCAATACAAACTAGCTTCACAAAAAGATATAACAATTGATGGTGCTCCTGTCACAGTGTATAATGTAGAGTTACTATGTGATATCACTAAAACACCCTGGTGCGATCATGATAAGCCTAAATGAGTATCATAGCTCGTCACAGAATTAATTTAGATATTTAGTATTACTTCAAGCATTTATTTTATATTATCATATATTTTTAATTATTGAAGCTGCTGTAACTGTAGTTTTTTTTTCTGGCTTCTCCCGTGCCACAGATCATGTTTTTATATTATGCCTAACTAAGAAATGTATACTTATCTATGCTATTCTAACTTATTCATATCTCATTCTCTGTTGTTTGGCCAGTGCGAAGTTTGAATACCAAGAGTTTAGTGAGCTTTTCGCGTCAGTCCGTGACTAGATTAGATTTTTTTGCAGAAACTGGGAATTGTAAGACAGCTTAGTCACACGGGGAACCAGGGCTGGGGAGCTGGTTTAAAATCATGATGCCTCCGGCTCCAGGGTCTCAGTCTATTCAAACTATGGCTCCAGCTCCAGAGCTTCATTTTTTTATGGCTCCATAGCCATTATCAGTGGTGGAGCCGAATAACACTTTTTGCTGATTGTGGCGTGTTATGATAATTCTCTTCTTTGTTCTTGCACACTTGTGTGAATCCACTGATAGTTATTATATACCGTATTACCCCGGTGAATAAGTCTAACTGGCAAATATAAGATGAGGCCCGTGTTTAAGCCTACAAAAATGGGTTTTTGCATATAGCTCCCCAATAAGAAGGGCAGGAAAATCGGCTTCTGAAATGGTCGTCGCATTTGCGCATTCGTTAGAATAGCTCATAATGAGCTTTTTTGCGCATAATATTCAATCCTAAGATCTACTATAAATCCTGTTAAGTACAATTTAATCAAGGACAATAAAAATACATATAAAGTTTATATATCAAAAATACATCTTTATAGACACGAAATCCCACAAACTTTAGGAAGATATGTTATGATTTTTTTGTTGCATAAAATATTCAATTCATGATTTTTAAATTGGATTGTTTCGTTAATTTAATTGTGATCAATTTAATCTGCTCACTACTCCAAAATACCACAGCAATCCGTGGACATGAAAAAATCTGTGGTAAAATGTCCAATTATACCTTTGCAATTATATTTTTTGCAAATTGGACAAATCTGAACTGTTCCTGCTACACTTGGCCGCTCTATTGCTATGATACCATTCATTATTCGGAGGATATCACCATAAAAAATCCCTAAGTCTGCGACAAAATCCAACAGAGTAAAATTTATTTCCAAAAACTTGAATATACTTTACATTAATTATCTCATATATACCATTATAATTCCGGGTAAAGTAGGTCAGGTCCCTTCAGTAGTTGTAGAATATAAAATGTGTGTCGCAGGCACACGAAATTTTGCGAATTGCAATGTCTAAAGAAACGTCTTTAGTCTGTCGCGGGCCATCCTAAAACAAACTTATGGTGTATTATTTTTGGTATTTTATAATGGGGCTTTTTAATCATGAAAATTGGGGTTGGGGGGTATTCACTCCTTTATTTATCTTTGGCATTTCGTCGCTCATGATTATGTAATAACTCTTTTCCTCGCAAGTATGGTGGTGCGCAACACAAAACATATGTCAGGTAAATTTGTGATTTAGGGAAAATAAAAGATGTTTACGGCCTAATGTTTATGGCGAAGAAAACAATCGGCGATTTTTACAAAATGCAAAGCATGTGTGATAGTATCGGCAATAGCCCTTCACTCGTGATCCATACACAAATACGGCAATTTCAAATACGATAAAAGCGTTGATATTTCAGATTTACAGTGCGGGAACGCCAATTCATTTAAACTGGCTTGGCGGGGTGGCATGTTGAGGTCCAAATTGAATAATAAGCCGATCCCCCAAAAAATGAAAATTACCACAGTCGCCCAATAAAGACGCCCCCCCCCCCAAAAAAAAAAAATCAGGCCAAAAATTTGGGTTTAGAAAGGCTATTTATTCCCCAGTAAATACTAATTATCGGCGATGGGATGTTGAAGATAAATAGAGGAGTCAATTCCCCAGAACATGATATGAGATAATTATGAAAAGTTTTTTCAATCAATATTTTTAAAGATAGGTATATTTGTCATATTTTTCTAGCGGTGATATTCTGAAAATAATATGAGTGGCAACACTTCGATAGAGCGGAGTCAGTGTTGCAAGAACAACTCAGATTTGTAGAATTGTGAATAAAAATACGAAAAAATATGGATCAAAGCGAGATGTAATCGGGCACTTCATCACACATTTTTCTGCCCTGCGGTGGTGTATTTTGGAGTAGTAAAACTTTCCTTCTGTCGTAAAACGATTCAACCATGAGATACGTTGAAAAGAATACATTTGAAATGGATTGGATGTTTTACGCCACAAAAAAAATAGTCGTTTGTATGCTATGTTGGGTGGGAATTTTCGATTTCGAAACCCCTACTTGTGAAAATGCTAGATTTTACCACTTTTAAACATATGATATATATATATATAGAAACATTTCAAATATTACTAGGAACTAAAATTAATAAAATGAATTATAAGCTGAAATGGCTTTTATCATTTGTAACGGTATCAGAAAATTATAAATTTGTAAAAAATGAGATAGTTAGGAGCTGGAGTCACTAAAATTGTTGGTAGCTCCGGCTTCATCTGTTTTGGTGAGCTTGGCTACAGCTCCATCAAAATGTTACGGCTCCAGGCTCCGGTTCCCAAGCCCTGGGGGGAACCACATACTTTCGCCTCGTGCCGTATTTAGCGCCGATGGCTGGCAATTTGTTTTGACTTCCGAAAGATATTTAATCGCGTTTAAGAGTGTTACGGTATAAGACCCGCCAAAAAACCTAGGAATTGAGGAAAATTGTTAAGTGTGTCGCAACTGGGGGTCGGCATGAATTACTCTGCACTTAACTAAACTCCAGAGAACCCTGGCCTTTGGTCCCATTTCCACCCACTTCGTATGAAATTTAGGGCGTTTTGAAATGGGTTCAACACAAGTCCTGGTATCAAATTATCTCGACTCAGGTGAACAGGCTCTAGAGCAGTGGTAGTCGACCGTTTTTCTTTCGTGGCCCATTTTCATAGCAAAAAATGTTTGTGGCCCATTAACTTTTTTATGCAAGGCAACAAACTAAAAGAAAAAAATCTTTTTGCGAAAATGGAGGAATTCACCTTAATAATTAGAATGTAAGTTTCCACTCAGTAGAAGAAAACAGCAGCATCATCCATTGCTACTGCAATCAAAAATAACTCTAGTGATACAAGTAAAACTAGCAATGTTTAATATGTCTGTGGCTCAGGCCAAAATATTACAGTGGGTCATGGCCCACTGGTTGAGAACCGGTGCTCTATAGGGAATCGTGGGTATTTATCCGCGGCACATACATAACATGATGACGTCATCGCACACAAAAAAACGAATCCCATAGACTCAGCAGCGAAGTAATTTTCGAAATAAATAAAAAGTAATGGCCTTCTGTAACCACCAAAAATTTCAAAGCGATTGGTCCAGGAGACAAGAAAATCGATTTTCTTCATAACAATAAGACGACAACGTAATAACAAAACGATTCTTATGTACGTTTCATGTCCAATAATATAACGAAAGCGGAGAAAATGAAAGATAACCGGTTAATAAAATCCTTCCGAACTGCAATCCTACAAAATATCTAGGTGTAATGGCCATTGATTTACAATGTGCTTTTTGGCACATGTACCCGTGGGTTTCGGTCCACTAGGTGTTGCTATTCACTATCACCTTTTGACTTTGGGTTCTCACTTGCGTTAGGCCAGGGGTGGGCAAACTACGGCTCGCGTGCCGGATCCGGCCCACCTGAGTATTTCACCCAGCCCACCTGTGCCTGCTGAAATTATGACTATAGTTTTTATGAATATAAATTTCCCCGAGTATACACTTCCTTATTTACTGTCGTAACATTGGCCAATCAGCATAAGTGCAAAATTGAAGTAACAATAAACGTTTCAGAAGCGTTCGGATACTTTTGCCATTCAGACAGATTTTCATGGTTATGAATATTACCTCGTTTTGTCGGTTTTCGCGTGTTATTTGTTAGATTTTAGTTGTGTTTTGGTAAATATAAGTCCTAAACTACTTGAAATAAGTACCAATAATTTTGCAATGGTAAACTGTAAAAAGGAAGTATTCAAGAGATCAAAAGTCGAGTAAACATTCGTTACTTAATTGTTCGCAGTGTTATATCCCACTACGTAGACTTTAGGTTCTCAAAGCGCTCCGTACGGAGTCTCAGGACTCCGTTAAAGACACTTAGGACCTCCGCGAGCTATTCGTTTACTTGAAAACTGTCCTCGACCCACTGCCGACCTCCCTCAACTTTCCTATCTTCGACCCACTGCCCTATCTCCCTTAACCTTCCTACCCTCGACCCACTGCCCTATATCCCCAACTCTCGCATCCTAGAACCACCGTACTATTTCCCTCAACCTTTCTCTTCTCGATCTACTGCCCTATGTCCCTCAACCTACCTATATCCTCGACCCACTGCCCTATCTGCCTCAACTTACCCATCTTTGACCTACGGTGCTACACTATTCAGCAGTACCTTACCTATAACGGCGCTTTATTCACGACCCGATCGCCACACTGAACTTTACTATCTTGCGACCAACTTCCATGGGTTATACTGGTCGTGTATGCCAATGAGATGATTCAATCGTACGTCGACAAAACATGATTGACGGCATTCGTATATGTAGACTGGAATCTCAAATGGTAAACAATAACCATAATTGGCAGTTAAAAAATGTGTTACTAATTGGGCTACTTATGGTTTCTTGTTGGGAATGACAGTTTTCTAAATTTTAACAAGCCGTTTTATGCCCTTAATAATTCGCCATTTCGTGAGTCTTGTGACAGTATGATATTGATCCGGAATAAGCAATAATGATCTGGTCCGTATAAAGTATTTTTCTTCAACATTTTATAGTAAAAGCGATGCCAAAGATTACGTACGAACTGCGTCCTTTGCAGATAAGCTTAATTTTGGGACTATACGCTGAATTAAAGGGCAGTTGGCAACGCTAGCTACGACAAAACATTTCATGGCTTAAAAATAGTTTGGAAATTACACTCACTGAGCGACTTATATTTTTGATTGTTTTTGACTTTTCAGCCTTCACAGTCACGTAAAAGACATTTGTATGTACAACATGATATGGCAGAACATTCGCTGAAAAAGACCAAGCGTGCAAATATTTGATTATTTCCTCATTGTTTCGCTTTGCACGGAAATACAGACGACATTGAATGAAGAAGAAGTCATATATGTCGATATCGAATGGCCTGTTAAAATTTT